TCCTGGGGGATATAGGGCGGCCGTCGCGTAAGGCTGACGACCCCACCGCCATCTGTGGACCGATTGTCTAGAAAATGTGGGAGCCTCGACGTCTCAGAACCGTATGGGCCTCCACAGCCTGTTACAGGAATAGGTTTACATTTTACACAGAAAATGTCTGGCCCAGTTAGAAGTGTAGGCTTTGGGGAGGGGGGGCATTGTAGGTTGCTTTTAACTTGGTAACGCTGTGGTCGGGGCTCCGTACAGAAGAAATGCTGCTTTCGATTTGCTGACCTTCACTCACTTTGCTTGCTTCGTATGGACATTGGAATTCTTAAGAGCTCTCTTTCCGTGACACCTCGGGGCATAAACAGAAATAGCTGAGCTGGTGTGTACTTTCGCTTTTGCAGCTCCGTTTCTGAAGACATGCTGCGTCCCTAGTATGCACTCGAAGATGCTAACTGAAACGTGGAACTACAGATAATGCTTATTGTTTCCAGCAGGTGTATTTTGCTGTCTAGGGCGACATGTTTCGGCACACGTGTGCCATCTTCATGTTCGGTTTTTATAGTTACAATTGTTCTGTCACGTAACAGCTGTCCGTGTGCTTAACCAATTAAGCAATACGCCATGAAGACGTTTGGGGGAGTGGATATATAGCATCACGTATTCTTGACCTCGGCACTAGTTGGAAGTGAGTGGTCAGCTTCACGTCCCTGTCGCTTTACCCCCAGAGAAAGAGCCCGTGAACCCCTTCGATAGGAGGCGGGGTGGGTCCCAGAACCTGTCTGGACGACGTAGAGAAACGAAAAACCATGCAGTGCCGAGAATCGAACCCGGCCCGTCCAGCTCGTAGCCTGTCGCTGTACTGATTGTATAGCCGACTTATTTTTATAAATATTAAATTATTAATTGTTTTTATTGTAGTAAATCGTATTTGCATTGTATTCATTTTGTGTGTTATTTGTGTGTTGTGTCTTATTGTAGTATCAATGCCACCGGGTAAAAACCCATTTGCAGTTTAAATAAAATAATAATAATAATAAATCCATGATCAATGGGTACTGACGATAAAGCAGCCGGAGCGCATAGTTCATCATTTACTGTCTAGGCAGAGAATAGGCCTACGAACATTCACTTCTTGAAACGCCTTCAGATTGTGGTCTCTTAGTTTCTCACACTGTATAGTCTTGTAGGCGGATACCGACGTTTCGGTAGAAACATTCAGGACGTTCGTGGCAGTATGCAGACCTGCAATTATCTGCCTACAAGAACGTATAGTCTTGTACGCGGTAGCGTAGTTGGTTGTGGGTCTATGCTACAAGCCGGAAGGTCGCGGGTTCTAGTCCTGCTGAGGTCATTGGATTTTTTTCAGTTGACCTAATCCTTCCAGCCGCACTAGGCCCTGGGGTTTACTCAACCTCTAACAGAAATGAGTACCAGGAATTAATTTAATGCGTGTAATTTTCCGTGGGAGTAAAGCGCGGCCGGCGCGTAAGGCTGACAACCTTACCGCCATCTTTGAGCCAATTGTCTAGATAGTGTGGGACCCTCAACGTCTCACAACCCTATGGGCCTTCACGGCCTGGTACAGGGATAGCTTTACTTTTTACTTTACTTTTACAAGACTATACGGTGTCACTGCCCAGAAAATTACAATCTGTGGAGAGAAAAAAAAAATCTTGCCCCTACCGAGACTTGAACTTCGGCCCTACAGAGACAACTTTACCTTTTAACCTTGTACATGATAGAACAATTGTAACTAAAAACCGGACGTGAAGATGGCACACGTGTACCGCAACATGTCGTCCTAGACAGCAAACTCAACCTGCTGGAAATATTGTTGTGTTGACAGGAATATAATAAACGTTATCTGTAGTGATTTACACAACAGGAGGCAACACAATATGAGAAGTGTGAAAAGGGAACGGACTCGCGTGCCGCTTTCCATTATTGTGACAGGAAGAGGCGGTCGTTATGTGGTTCGTATTGTATTTATGATTTTCACTGTTGCTCATCCAACCATTTCTGTTGTCCTTGTATAATTTGAACACGTCTGATCCTTTCTGCTGCCCGCCAATTTCAGGCTCCAGTGGATTCTGACTTTGCAGTACAACTTTCAGCATGAACGTTTTCTAGAGCATGGATCAGCAAAGTTTTAAATGAAATTTCCTTTTTACTTCCATCATCTGTGGAACCATGATGTGCCTTGAATAGGTCACAAGCGTCACAAGACTTGTTTATTCAGTTCAAAAATGATCTATATGTACATACAGCGTAAATAATTGTGTTGTTTGTGAGATTCGAGGTTCTCACAGTGATGATTGAAGTGTGACGTCTTGCAGTGACCAGTTCTCAAGAACTTCGATCTCTTTGTAACTAAGACCAGATTTACAGTTGTGGGGCCCCAGGACAATCAAAATGTGGAGACTCCTGTCAGTAAAAACAAACTTACGTTACGAAAATTCGTTTTTATCATTGCTATTGCCATTTCTTGTAATAATTAAAAATACAAACCAAGTTTTCGTGATTTTAAAGAAGCAGATGTCTCAGTAAAATCTGTGCATTCAGTTTTTGTTTTGTGGAGGCCCAAAGGTGACTACCCGTACGTCATCCCCCCCCCAAAAAAAAATCTAGCCCGTTTTTTAACAAGGGNGAGGACGGTAGAATTTTTCGTCTCTTGGGGCGGCACTTAGACTTGCACTGGCCCTGAACTGCAAACCGTCCCAGCCACTCCAGTAAAGGGAGTAAAGGAACCGGTCGAGGACGAGTGCAGTTTTTTGCGCTTGTGATCCTTTTAAAGATAATAGCCCAGACTATATAGTGTCGAATGGTTAAAGGTAAAGGTGTCCCAGTACTTAACTATGCCATGAAGGCATATGGGAGAGTGGCTCTATAGTTAACACATTTTCTTAATCTCGGCACTAGCTGGAGGTGAGTGGTCAGCTTCACGCCCCGGCCTCTTTACCCCCGGGGAAAGAGTCCCCGTTACCCATTGGATAGGAGGTTGGGTGGACCTCAGAGCCGAATGATATGTTAATTAATAAATAATGAGTTGGAAAGGATGTCGAAGGAAACGTTCGTGGCCACTCTCTCCCTATCCCTTCATTCTCCTAGTGGGATTGAAAAACCCCATTTGGGATAGTAGGTGTCCCGGCCGAGATTCGAAGCATACCCCCTCCCGAAACGTTACCACTTGAGCTACCTTGCTCGGTTGTTTTCAGACGCAGTGGCAGAAATTTCATCTTCAGTGTTGACGAGTAACCAGGGTGCATCCCTGGCAGTATCAAGGGATCTTTCTCTTTTGCGCAGCGTCCAGACCAGCAGTATTGGCCCACCCAGTCTACTCTCCAGCATGTATCTCAGTCACTCTTGCATGAGTAAAGTTGCCATGGTGTGAAGCTGAACGCTCACCGTTTACCATCAGGCTTAAGTGCATGAGGATGTACCTCCGGTCCCCCACATATCTTCATGGCTTGGTGTTCAATTAAAATTCCGCATACAGATGTCTGATGACATTGACCACTGAGGTCCCGTTTTGGTTTCTCTCCCTGTTCTGTCTAAAACATCATCTGCTTGACAGAAGATAAGTCTATATTGTTTATCAAGATCTCCTGTATGGCGATATTGGTCCTCATCATTTGACGAAAATGGAATCTAGTATCTTTGTAATGATAACAGCTATCTGTGTCACCATAGTTGTATGGGGAGTTCCCACAATAGTGACTATGAAGAATGCTGTCTTCTGGAATGTAATGCCATCTATTACAGTAGATGCCAACAAGTGTTTTAGAGGACCATACTGCCTCCCTCTCCAGGAACAGAAAGTAAGCCAAGCAAGAACCTAACAATTGCTGCATCTTTCTTGCTTGGTATACTCTTCACCCATGAAGATACAGACAGTATAGTCCTCTGAAACATTAGTGGACTCTTTCTGGACTAATGGCATTATGTACCAGAAGACAGTACTCTGTAGTTCACCACATCACCATTTCATGATGGACAGACCCTCAAAGATGTTTTAGAATATCTATTATCAACATCTCAGTTTACTAAATTTTGAGATGTTATGAAGTTCTGTGAATGTATGCTACTGAAAGCTGTTCACAATTCAGGTCATTATTTTAACATTTGTAAAGAATGGAGTATGAAACTGGACCATTATTTTTAATGCAATGTCGTGCTGTCTGTGAAGAGAAAACAAAACTCCTAGTCTTGATGGTGAATCAAGCGCTACGAAACTCAATATACAATGCTTCTATTTGTTATAATGAATAAATGTAATTCAGATTAATCAGTTGTGAGGGCTTAAACAAATGTATTGCTTTTACAACTTTAGGTTAAAACTTTAAATACAACATTGATATTCTATGATAATTGTCATTAAATTCAGTTTACTTTAATTTATTAGAAGTATATTGGTTAGTCTTCGAAGCTCTTGAGCAAATTTTAAAGTAATGCAGTATGTGACAAGTACTACCATGTATCGTGCATGACAGCTGACAGATGCCACATGTAATGGTGCACACATTTGTATTGCCATATCAAAGTGTATTTGACTATTCAAGAAATTTGTCGATTATTTAAGAAAGTTTTAAATATCATATGAAATTCTGTATATTATCATACATTCTCTTATTTTTCCCAGATTGTGGCGTGAGTGGTGCTTTTAATCGTAGGCAGCCTCGGAATTCATCATCACTTGAGCAAGGTCGCATTATTAATGGCAGGGAGAGCCCCAGAGGGGCATGGCCTTGGCAGGTTAGTATCCTGGTACAATTTTTCTACTCTTTCTTAAAAGAATGCATGAGTACATACATAATAAAATTGGTGATATCAGTTCTTCATGTTGATAAACTGATGATGTTAATTCTGTACTGGCATTGTTATGCATGTGGATATTGGTGATGTTACCCACATTTCAGATGTACATGATGGCAACATCTTCAGGACAAAAATCTTAGATATAAGAATTCATTTGTGTTGCAGGTGTCACTACAGTTGCTTCATCCAAAGTTTGGTCTCATTGGTCACTGGTGTGGAGGTGTTCTCATTGCTCCACAGTGGATTCTCACAGCAGCTCATTGCATTCACAAGTATGTGATACATGTTTGAAGGGCTGAAATTTTTACTATATTGTCACGTGTTAGTGACAAGACACGGGGTTTGGACTGGTAATAGGATTTATTGAACACTTATAAATCATAATTACAAAGAACTATAATGCTATTGTTAATCTACACACTGGTCGTTGCTTGATAATGGTCTTCACTAGGCACCATTAGGTTGCAGTTTCCAACAGTGGAGATTCTTCTGCTCTCATGCTTGCATTGTTGCTGGCTGGTTACCATTTCATAACTAACTCTTGATGGCAACTGGCAAAGCTCTCTCTATGGCTCTCACTGCATGGATTGCATAGGAAAAACCATTTCCAACAGTTCCTTCATTGTTGGTAATGTGTTGGCAAGCCGTTGACTAGCAATGGCTCACTTGTTTATTGAGCCAATACCACACAATGGACAACGTTTAAGTAGTCATGTCACAATATTAATGTGAATTCAACAGTCCTGTACAACAGCCCTGCTGTTCATAGCATGCTAATTCAGGGATATGCAGTCTTCTCAAAGCCTGGGCTACTTTACTGAGTAGACAATTCATTTGCAGCCAGTTTAAAGTTTTACTGCCGAGTGGTGTAAATTATGGTTATGTCTTTTGGATGTGGTATCGTGCAGTCTGCTGGAAGTGTTCTGTTGTTTTGAGGATGCAGTGCCTCCATCTTCAGGGTTACAGCCAATCAGGCCAATCTTCAACTGACTTCAGTTGACTTTGGAAATGTATGTCTCTGTGTCTGCTCCTTAGTTTTGAATTCTTTGATGGCCATTGGCCATCTTCTTTCTTGATACTTCCATCAGGGAGATGCTTGCCTAATTTGGGTTCTTATTCTACTATAGCAGAAGTGTACCTGAGACTTGTTGAAGTGCTGAAATATATTTCTGAAAGTGTTAATGTAGTCAAAGACTACTTGTCAGTCAGAACATCAATTGATGCAAATTTTGGGACTGGTATCAATGGTTTGTGATCTCTGACAGGGAGGAGCTGTCATATTTGTTGTCTTCTTCATTAGATACAAGTATTAAAGGTGTAGCAAAATCAGTATGTCTTCTTGTTATTTCTGCCTTTACAGCTGCCTTTCTGCTATTAATTCACTCCTCTCTTTGTGCCACATGTGAACATGCTCATTGACTGGCTCACAAAAAAGTCATTTTCTCACAATAAATCTGCAGGTACTTTGATGATCAGTGGGCATGCGGTAGCGTAGTTGGTTGAGGCACTATGCTACAAGCCGGACGGTTGCAGGTTCAAGTCCCAATGAGGTGGATCCTCCCCACCCAATTTACCTAATCCTTCCAGCCACACTATGGCCCTGTGGTCAACTCAGCCTATAACAGAGATGAGTACCATGAATCTTCCTGGGGGGTAAAGGGCAGTCGGCATGTAAGGATGACAACCTCACCACCATCTATGAGCTGATTGTCTAGAAATTTGGGAGCATTGATGTCTCATAACCCTATGGGCCTTCACAGCCTGTTACAGGGATGGCTTTACCTCTTTACCTTATGTTTCATAATCAATCATCACAATATCTAACGTCATACACTGATAAAGATATGTTGTAATTTTGCCATCCATTGAAACATTGTGTGTATGAGTAGCTGACATTTTTAAATACAGGTGATTCTTGTTATACGGAGGGAGCCATGCAGTCCTGAAAACCACCACACAGATTGAAAATTAATAAAATAGAAGGTGCATGGAAAAACGCTTAGCACAGTAGAGAAGAAGTATGAAAGGACATGATAGGCTGAATGAATGTATAAGGGGTGGGCCTTCTTGGCCTTTGCACCGTGACCACAGTGATCTATTGTGCCTCCCCTTCTGATTATCCCCTCAACAATCCTGCATTTCGAATGAAGGGCAGGATTTTGGTTCCATAAAATATTAACCCAAGTGACGCAATCTTAAATAAGCTAAGGCCTCACATTCGTACAGGACATGCATGGCTGTTTCATTTTTTTTTTCTTGACACCTCTCGCAAGTGGGACTATCACTTAGTCCCAGTTTGAAGAGGTGTTCTTTAAGGTGACAGTGTCCTGTAAGTAGTCCCACCACCCATTGTAACTGGTTCTTGTTTAACTTCAACAGTTCATTCGCTCTGTTAGCAGAGAGTCCTCATATGAGTCTCTTTGCTTGCCCGAGTCCAGTAAAGGATCCCCAGTATTTCTTGCGATTCATATTTTTCCGGTCCCTGATTGCTTTCTGGTGACTTCTATAAAGATGCACATGATAGGTTAGTCGAATAGGTAGCCACATGCTGTGTCTCCACCCTCCTGCTGCATAGTACATCAATAGGAAGTGGCACAAATTTGACAGACATATACTATATATGTAAGTAACATATAGACAGAGGAAATCATTAAAACGCTGGTTTCTAATTCAACATTGGCACAGCTGATCACGTGACAAGATTTTAGCACATTTATTTGCTGCAAAAGCTTACAATATTTCAGTGTGAAAGGAAATGACTGAGTCAAAATGGTGGGATGAATCAGAGGAAACTGGCTGTGTAACTCGGTGATGATGTGTGATGGCTTCTAACATAGCCACAAGTCGGACATTAATGCACCATGTGACCCTGAAATAAAACTGCATATACTGGAATGTGGAACAAAAGTCACCTTTCATGCCATATATGTTTTGATGCTTTGATGGTGATTGCACACAATGAAGAGTCCTCAGGAGGTCAGCTATATGAAGGTGGAGTTAGTTTCGATTTCGTGATCACATGTATTTATGGCAGAATGGTGTGTTCAGTACTGTACCACTAATTCTCTGACTCTGCCTACCATTACAGGACTGTTACTGAAACAACACAGCAGGCTCCAAGAGCATATCCTTTGGGTTTAAATACAGTGTTGGCTACATCACATCAGCTATGGAGATGGAGACAATCTCTAAAACATTGGATGCTAACTCCATCGTCACATGGCAAGTCACCAAAGTAGACTGCATTGCATATTTAATGTCATTTATTGTCAGTCTGAACTAGTAACTTCTTTACGGACCTTTTTCCTTCATATTTTTAAAGAATTAACATACTGTGGCATATTTGCACAAAGCAAGAAGTGTGGAACCAGAGAAACAGCCATTACTAATGAACGGCTCTGAAACAACATTCATTTCTAGGTAACGATCACAAATAAACAGGTTCCCATGACAGCAGTCCATGTGCAGCAGTGGAGGTAAAAAAAAAAAAAAGTAAAGCTATCCCCGTACCAGGCTGTGAAGGCCCATAGGGTTGTGAAACGTTGAGGGTCCCACATTGTCTAGACAATCGGCTCAAAGATGGCAGAAAGGTTGTCAGCCCTACGTGCCAGCCGCTCTTTATTCCCCAGGAAAATTATTTAATTAATTCCTGGTAGCAACAGTGGAGGTACACTTGGAAACTGGTTTTTATGATGGCCTGTGCTGAAGGATTATAAGAAAGACAACGGGAGCAAGAATTCAGACAGTCAGAAGAAAGCCACCATTCAGAGAGGACTTGAACACAGAAGCAGAGGAATAGCCATTGTTAGAAGCCATTACCAGGCAACTACTAGTAAAGACACTCCAGGCTGGAAAAGACTTAGCACATGATTTGTAAAGTGTGGAAATTTAGCAGTGGTGCTATAATTAAGTTTAACTGCAAGGTGTATGGTAAAGTGTTCAGTAAATCCAATATCCAATCCAGAACCCCATTGAGAGCCATTCTAGCAAGTGACAGTACTTTCAAAACCAGATTTTTAACAAATTACCAAAACTACAGTCTTTTTTCATGTTATTGTCTGGATTTTGCTCAGAAAGAAGGTGTACTACCTCTTCAGTATACATTCTTTGAACAGGTATGAAAAAAAGAACTTCGTGGTCTGTAGTCTGCAAGCGAACTATACTGCCACTTGTCGGCGAAGTTAGTGCCAACTTTAGCGGATAGAGGGTGTCACATGGCCAGCGCAACGTTTCCCCACAGCCATTATTCTCGAAAATTATAAAAACATTCAAAGAACATAGTGTCATGTGTTGGTTGTATAACGCGACAGATAACTTCACGTTGTATTGGATGTAGCGAATTTTATTTCACACTCGCTCATACAATCACACAAATTACTGAAACTTGTTGGTAACATGTGTAAGTCCAATCCCACTTCTGACACCAAATTGTCATGTGTCTTAATTTTGAATCTTGTTGGTCACGTGTGTAAGTCCAATCCCATTTCTGACACCAGTGTAACGTGTTTAGTGTACTGAAGACGCCGTTCCGATTGTTAATTGGTTTATTTAACAACCTATGAGTCGTAACTCCAATTGATTATAACACTGTTGCAGGGTTTCACATTTTATAACCCTATTCACAATAATCTCTTCACTCTGTCCTCAGTAGTCTACTCGTATTCACAGTACGGGAGCTATATAAGTGTCACTGTGTTACACGCTCCCAATTACTTCTCAGTTATCACAAACTATTGCTGATTAACACACGCGTCCGGTTCTTCTTTCCGTAACAGCTGCTATATTCCAACTCAACTCTAACGGCTCACTGCTGGCTAGATTCCAACTCAAATCGTAGGCTGCTACACTGAGAACTGCCTTCGGCGGCTGTGTAGTTCCCTTATAAACCCTCAGCCGGACAACAGGAAACGCCTCGCTTCCTTGTTGCCTAGTCACCGTGTGCCGATAGCCTAGCAACGCTGTTGGGAGTTGTTTACGGCTACGTAGCAACTGCGGCGTCCCGTGTTATGTCACCGCTGTTTATTCACTTTGCCTAGCAACCGCTATGCTTGGACTCGGCTCACTTTGGCTCCGCTCGGCGGGAGGGGGGGGGGGCGTCCTCCATAGCGCAACACGTCACAATATGATACTAATGTATGTAACACTGCTGTGATGAAAAACATGGAACAAACTGAAAATGTGTATATTTTGGGTTGGACCATTGGACATGTAATTTAGACTTGAACGTATTTGGGGTTGTCCCTGGAAGCATTAATATGATCTGATAGATTTACAAATGTGATCTGTTGTATTATTGTGTTACAGTGATATCTTCAACCTCCCAGTTGCCATTTTGTGGACTGCTGTTCTTGGGGAGTGGGATCGAGAGGTCGAAGAGAACACAGAACTTAGAGTTCCAATTGAGAAAGTGTTTGTGCATGAGCGTTTCCACAACTTCCAGCATGATATAGGTAATAATAAAATATTAATATAGAATCAGATTTACGTTTTACAGGAGCCAGGATACCTCAATCAGTATAGCAATGTGTTATGGGCCGGATATAGGTGCGTCTTTTAAAAACCTGGGTAGTGCCCCCATTTGATGCTGTCTCTGTTGGCAAATCTGAACTCTCAGCCTATCCAGTTGATGGTCCTGGGCACACTCTGTGACGAGAGTACAGAGTGTAACAGATGAGAGTGGGATGAGAGGCAAGTATCTGGTGCCTTGAAAACTAGATCCTTTGGCCATGGGAATAAACCTCAACAGAAAATCCGAGCCTTGGACATAGTGAAGGTTGGGCACAGAGCTAACAACTCTGCCCTGTATAAAATTTAGTGTTCAGAAACTCAAGGAAATATACCAGATGCATCAATGAACAGTAATTTTAACAGAGGCTAAAGCTGAATTAAAAGTAGACTTTAAAGGATTCTGACGATGGTGTATGCTGTACAGAACTATAACGTTTATTTTTTATTCTATCCATCATCTGGTATATATAAGACAAAAACCACAACGTTTCGGAGACTGGATCTGTCTCCATCCTCAGGTGATTGAGACTAGCTCTTTCTAATAGGCCCAACTGAGTAGGTCTATCTTGCCCCATCCACCTAAGGATGGAGACAGATCCAATCTCCAAAATGTGGTTTTTGTCTTATATATACCAGACGATGGATAGAGTCCAAAATAAACCTTGTAGTTCTGTACTAAATTAAAAGGGCAGCGGCCTCCGTAGTGTAGGGGTAATGTCCCACCTCATGACTCAAGGTACGCGGGTTCAAACCCGGTGGATGTTGTGGAATTTTATGGGCGGAAAATTTCAGGGAACAAGTCCTCCGGGAGGGACTTTAAGCTGTGGGTCCCGTGTCGTAGATTTACGGCACGTAAAAGATCCTCATGTCTCTAGGACTCTAGGAGACCTCTGAGCCAAATTAGGCAACAATTTCCCGCCCAAGTAGTTTCCAACGCCTCTGGTAGATTGGGGAAATATCGGGTACCGACGGCCGACCTCATTAGCTGAACGGGGCTGATAGTACGCACCAGTACCAGTAGGGTATGGCGACAGTATAAATTAAAGGGGGGTGCTCAATGGACCAATAACTGGTCTAAGTGCATGGGGAAAATCTAATAATAATAATAATAATAATAATAAATTAAAAGGGCTGTGAGGGCAGAGAGGAAGATGAAGGGGTCATGGGCTGAAACAGAGTTTGATTCCTAGCAAGGAACATCCCGACCAGCTCTGGGGCCCAGCCAGCCTCCTATCCAATGGGTGTCAGGGGCACCACTCATCTCCATCTAGTACAGATATTAAGAATATGTGGATCTGTGCCTACACTTACCCATATATCTTGGGTATGGAATCTGATGCTAATGTGGCATGAACCATGTGTTTCTGTGGTATAGCCCGAACATTTAGTTGTACTGCTGACAGATTTTCTTCCACTGCTGATTTTTCTGTCTTGTTATACTGCTAATGTCATGTTTAAATAATGTAAGACTGTAATCCAACAGTGAAATTCAGTTTTCGCTCAGAACCATAAATAGTAACTAATGTTGCTCCCATCTCAGAAGGCTGCCACGTTGTTATTGCTGACTGTACAGTTATTCAGAAGTGTGTTAGAGTGACCTCCAGTGGCATAATGTCCATACCAAATTACATGAAAATTTGTCAGTTGGTGCAGCAATTGAAATCAAGACACATATGCTACATGCTATCTCATATCCCTTTTCACTTTTTATTGAAGGAGTGTAGGGCAAGAAAATCACCCCATGTGACACTGTTTTTCAGTCAGTGGGGCTTGATATATGGCTGGGTGAGACATGAGGACTCAAAATTAGAACATCCATTAGTGATTAATACAGCACTAACATGCGTATAGCTGTAAAACTACAAATTTTAGAAAAAATGAGCTTTATTTCTACTATGATGAAGCTGTGGTTTTGTGATGAAATGACTAGTGAGACACAAGATGCTAAAGATTGAGTAACACTGCTCTGCAGTGTACCTTAAATGTCTGGGTTTTATATTTTGGCAGCACTCCTGAAGCTCTCTCAGACTACGAGGCCTGTGGGCAATCAGTTGCAGTCAATATGTCTGCCTGAACAAGCTACCACTCTTCCATCTTCTTCTGCTTCCTGCATAGCCACTGGGTGGGGACATGCGAGTCGTGCTGGCCCACTCACAGCAAGGCTTCTGGAAGCCAGGATCCCTCTACATGAGAATTCAGTATGTCGGTCAAAATATGGCAACTCTGTGCCCATTCGAGCAGGACATCTGTGTGCAGGGCACCTAGATGGCTCAACAGGCACATGTGTGGTAAGGGGCAGTTCATATGCCTGTCCTCTTCATCTAGCATTTAGTTTGTTGTTACTGATCCTTGGATTTTCAGCAAAATAATTACTTGTTGTGTTAGGCATTACCATTTTTTTAAGATGTGTTTATGTTGTAAAAGCAGGACTGTAAACAAGATGATCCATGAAGAATATACATTATTTCATTTCTTTAAAGAAAAATGTACCCGACTAGAAAGACAGAGTGCTAAATGATTTCAAGTGCCCAGAAGTTATAGGTGTTGACATGAAGGAATACGACAAGAACTCCAATGTGGAGGCAGGTTAGAATACCTCCACCATAGTCTTGTGAGTCATAAAAGGTGGTGGAACTCAGTGCCTGGATGTATAACTGGGCCACCCTGTCACTGGGGGACATAAATACAGAGACTAGGCCCTCCAGGTTGGGTGTTGGACACAAGGCTGATGACCTTGCTCTGTAAAAAAAATTGCTGTTGCAAAATTCAAAGAAGTGAAAACAAGGTGGTGTAATTCACAGTGGAATAGGAACACCTGGCAGAATCTCGTAAGGAAGGCTGTGGCTCAGAAAGGGCTGTTATGCCAATGATGATGATACAACAAGAACTATGAAGTGAATTCTTCATTAATGTTGATTAGTTATTTATTTGTCTCTAATAGACATTCTGTTATTAAGACACTCCATTAAATACAGTATTTATTATGTAAGTTTTGAAATTTTCATGGCAGTGATCGTGTAGATAGTGATATTCTGAGTTGTGACACCATACAGTCTTGTAGGCAGGTGCTCTTACTTCAGATGAAAATAGCTTTGTTTTCAGGGTGGAAGTGTGTAGATTGATGGAGGACTCCTCCCTGAGCAGCTCTTACAAACCTCTTATCCAGTCCCTGAAGAGAAGGGAGAGAACTTTCTGTCAGATAATCACACACAGACACATAGAAACATGCACAGTCTCTTTTTAACAAATTTTTATTTTTAAAAATAATACATGTAGGGGTTAGGAGGGGGAATGCGGTAGCATAGTTGGTTGAGGCACTATGCTACAAACCAGAAGGCCGTAGATTCAATTCCTGATGAGGTCATTGGATTTTTCAGTTGACCTAATCCTTCCATCCTCACTATGGTCCTGTGGTCAACTCAGCCTCTAACGGAAATGAGTACCAGGAATCTTCCTGGGGGTAAAGAGTGACTGGCACATGAGGCTGACAACCTCACCACCATCTGTGAGCTGATTGCCTAGGGAATGTGGGAGCCTCAGCATCTCGCAACCCTATGGGGCTCTACAGCCTGTTACAGGGATAACTTTTTACTTTTACTTTTACCTATAGCGGTTAGAAAATATATTGCTCCGTTTAGCTAAGGTGAACTGATTTTGTAAATGGGGGGGGGCAGAAGTTCACAACATCCTTTCGTTTTTGTAATGACTTTAGATGAGGGTTTGGATTAGTGAGCCAATTTATTGGATCTTCACCAGTTGGAATTACAACTAAGTGTAACACTTTCAATCTTATTGTAACTATAACATCCAAACAATGATAACACTCTAAAGGTTACTGTAACTGCACCACATAAAACAAAGACTTCACTTCTGACTACTGACTTCTGTATTCTGCTGCTGTGTCTGACATCTTTTTCTGACTTATGTCTCTTTAAATAACCTTTCAGCTGACCAAATATGCAACACCATTCCAACATTTAATCTTATCACATCCCTCCATTGCTGTGCTGAACGATTTGTTGCCATGGATATTGGCTTTCAACAGTTAAAGTTACACTGCATGCAGCAAATCATAGTACTCAAGCCATTGCATAGCAATGGGCGCCTATTCTTGAATGCTTGAGAATGTGTTTTACCAGTTTTTTTTTCCTGGAAACGGCCCAGTCTGACTCAATATTTCTCCCTTTTTTAAATTAATGTTTTTTTTTATTTTGTCAGTACCTTTCCAATTATTCTTTCTTATGTAATCCATATAATGACTAGATAAAGGAAAGTAAAAATATGTCGTTTGAGAATTTAAGCTTCTCATTGCAGTTACTATGAATAATATGCTCTTCTGGACCATAATGCCATTTAGTTCGGAAAGAGTCCAACAGTTCAGAGGAATGTATTCCTGCCAACTTCAGAGTTAAAAATTAAGCCAAGCAAGAAAGAAGTGTATACCATGAAGGCATGCACAGTTGAGAATCTAGATAGGAACTATAAAAATAGAAACAACTACATTCTGTCAGATAGTCAAGCTGCAATTAAAGCACTTGTCAAATACAAAATCACCTCAGAACTGGTTGGGAACTGCCTAACAGTCCTTCATACAACTGTCCAAACATAACAGAGTTCAGCTGATGTGCCAGGTCATGAGGGTAAAGTTGATAATGAAACGGCAGATCATCTGGCAAGAATGGGATCTGAACATGCATTCACAGGACCTGAACCAGCTTGCGGCATCTCAGTTGGGTTGCCATGAAAGCGATCAGGGACTGGATGAATAGAAATCACAAGAAGACATTGGGAATCCACATCTGGACTAAAGCAGGCAAAGGGACTTATACTAGGGCCCTCTGCCAGAAGAACTAAGGATCTCTTGAAATTAACCAGAGACCAATTAAGATGGGTGGTAGGACTATTTACAGGACACTGTCACCTAAAAGGACATCTTTTCAAACTGGGCCTGACAGATGTTCCCACTTGTGAACGGTACCTGGAAAAAGATGAATCAGCCACACACATCCTATGTGACTGTGAGGCCATTGATTTTTTAAGATTTCATAATCTGGACCAGTTCTTTATTGAGACAAGTGACTACTTTGATGTCCCCATAAACGAAGTCTTAATCTGTAAACTACATGGCATTACAACCTGGAAGACCATATTCCTCTTTGATGTTCGGAGTTCTCACAACAGTGACTATGGGAGAACTACTGTCTTTAGGAGTGCCTGCTTTCTTCTTGACTGAAGATGGAGCAGTGCATCCTCTGAAATGGTAGTAGACTTCTACTAGACTACATGGTGTCACATCTCAGAGGATAGTACTGTCAAAAGTAAAAATAGTTTAAACCATGTATAAAGGTAAACCAGCAATTTACAGAATTGTGTGAACTAAGATTTAAGGCTGTCATGGCAGGTTTTATGAAGATTACTGTCACATCGCAGAAGATGGTAATCTTCAATGTGATTTGTTTTGAAATTGTATCATTATTGATTGTCTTCATGCAGTAAGGAGCCAGGGTAGTATAGTCGGTATGGCTCCAAGCTGAATGACGAGGGTTAGAGTTCGAGCCTCTATAGGGGCAAGATTTTTCTTCTCTCCTCATTGTCCAGACTGGTTTTGGGGCCCACCCAGCCTCCTATCCAGTGGGCACCTAGGGCTTTTCCCCTGGGATAAATCAGCCGGGGTGTGAAGTTGACCACTCACCTGCAGCTGGTGCCAAGGTCAACAATATGTAGATCTATACATCCACTCCCCCATACGTCTTAATGGTGTAGTGCTTAATTAGTTATGCATAGGGACAACTTTACCTTACTCTTATGCAATAAGATAACTTCACAGCTGTCCAATTGGCAGTATAAAAATATAATTTTGCTCACTGCTGAGAAACTAAAAGAGAATAGTGGGATACCGGACCATGTCAGAAACATCTCTTAGGTTGCATTATTATGTCATCAGGAAGTTACTAGATTCCATGTTCAGCATATGATGGGAACTCAAAAGACCATACCACAGATCTTGTTGAACACAAAGGACTCATCTTCCACAAGATTACCAACTCAAGGTATGATGTCCCCTCAAAGATATAGACAGACAGTAGTTGTATGGAATATTTTAAAGGCTTTTTGGTGCTAGTAATGAATTTTAAGTTTCATAAGTAATACATCTTTCACATGTGTTTTGTGTATGTCTGTGTTGTTAAAGAAAGATGCTTCTTAAGCTAAGTTTAAACTAAATGAAATTATTTGAATCCTGTGTCAAAAACAGTGATATACATACACATTAAATAGCCTTTTATAAGTCATGGAATTATATTTTTATGACAAGCATATGCTGTGTTACAGTTTCATGCGTGTACTGTACATGTTACTGTCTTAAATGCAAAGCTTATATTCTCTCTCATATACATCTTATCTTAACTATGACATGTTTTGGCCATGTACAGCCATCATCAGGTATATGTGGGTCCTGCTAAAATTGTTTCACGTGTTGATACTTTATTTGTAGGAATAATTAAAAGTTCCATAGAACTTCAAGAAAATATATATATTAAAATTCTGCTGCACTGCATTTAATGCCACAGTGTGCATGTTACCTGTAATGCAAAGAAATGTATTGTGTTGTATGTTACTTGTTTGCTGTCTTATAGATTTTCTTTTAATGGTTGATACTTACGTATGTTGCTATAGCTGTGCGTATAGTTGTCTATGCAGTGCTTAAATAAGCATGGTATTTGTAATATGTATGAGATATTATATATATATATATATACACACACATACACAGAAGGGTCCAAATAAATGTACTCACTCTTTTATAGTCAATATCTTTGGAACAAAATGACATGTAGTTACAATTCTTGCGCAGAGAGAGAGAGAGAGAGTCATTGTATGTGTTCGAAGTGACCACCATCAGCTTGCTCAACAGCGTCGATGCCGCCGAACTGCTGAGTGAACTACCGCTGTCAGTGTGTCTGGTGTGATGGATGCACATGACGCTTCGATGGTTTATCGTAGCGCGTTCAGTGTAGCTGGCTTTTGTCGATAAACTTCATCCTTCAAGGTTCCCCATAGGTAGAAGTAGAAAGGTGTTAGGTCTGGAGACCGTGGTGGGTACTCAATAGCACCTCTTCGACCTATCCATCGTCTAGGTAGAGTGTCATCCAAGTACGCCCTGACAACTCGATGGTAGTGAGGTGGAGCACCATCTTATAGGTAAAATCTCTCATCTCCAAACAGCTCTCGAATGGCAGGGAAACTCGATGTCTGAAGCATATCAAGATACACCTGACCAGTTACGGTACCTTCAAAGAAGAAAGGACCAATCAAACAGTGCAATGACAGACCACACCACACATTAACACCTGGAAGATTCACTTCCTTGCCCACGTGAACGTGTGGATTTACAGGAGCCCAATACACAATTGTGGCAGTTAACAGTTCCATTCATTTTGAATTGCGCCTTGTCAGACCAGATAACTTTCCCTGCAAACTCCTCATCCTCACGAACCATGCCTTCAAACCACTCGCAGTATTCAAGCCTTCAATCTGGGTCGTCCTCATTCATAGCGTGCAGCAGTCTTAGAATGTACACTTTTCATTCTGTAGCCTTCAGAATTCACCGTACACTTGATCAGCTTACCCCACTTTTGTGTGCACACTGATTCACAGATTTTTGCGGTGATTGTGTAAAGTGTTGCAACACCACAGCACTGGAAGCTGGACTTGTTACTAACCGTGGTCGCCCAGATCTTTGCTTATGCACATCATGAACAGTACCGTCAGCTTCAAATTTAACCCAAACACAGGCAATTGTTCGACGTGTTGGTGGCTGAGTTCCAAACGCATTCTGCCATTGTCGTTGTACCTCTTTAATGTTTTCGTACTTCCAGTACCACTTCAATACAGCCTTGCATTGCTCAAAGAACAACCTATCAGCCATTGTTGCTGCTGTCTTCTGCTCACAGCACGCACGCAGCACGACATCACATGACTCATGTGACCTTCGCCATCTGTTGAGAAAACATTACACTACACTACCATGCAAGAATTGTAACTACATGTCATTTTGTTCCAAAGATATTGACTATCAAAGAGTGAGAACATTTTTTGGACCCCCCTATATATATATATATTTTTTTTGGTTATATATTTATTTTTTTTTTTTGTGTTTTATAGTTCTGTTATACTTACATGTGTATACATCCAAAACGTGTTGTAGTAAGGTAAGATGTACATGAGACAGAAAATAAACATTGCCATTACAACACTAACATGTACAAAACTGTAATATTACTGCAACAGAATGCTTAAGTATTATAATATGCTGTGATGTATTTGGTCCAACACTTTACTCTTTTTGTCTCTGTTGCTTTATGTCATTGTTTGTAGGGTGATTCAGGTGGACCACTGCAGTGTAGTATGATAGATGGACGATGGTATCTTGCAGGCATCACTTCATTTGGTTCCGGCTGTGCCAAACCTGGTTATCCTGATGTATACACACGTCTTTCATTTTATCTACCATGGATCAAAGATAAACTGAAGCAACAGTGAGATGTAAGGCTGACCTTCATTTTATTAAAAGTTTTAGGAATTACAGAAGGAAAAATAAAACTTCTGTTATGTGGACCCTTCATTGTGTGATATTAAAGACAAACTTGAAAATTGTGTGTACGTTATTAAATGTAATATTTACATAGTTGAACTCCTACGGGTAATAATGAAGTGATAATGAGCTTGTTGGGCTAGAAGTCCTGAAGATTTTGAGGACATTCTACAAAGTGTCCCTGATAAAAACAGTGAAGTGGCGTTCACCACTGGATGTCATCACATTCACAGCTTTATCCCCTTGGTGTCTTCTTTTCTGAACACAGTACTGAGCCAGAGAGCTATATGTAAGATGGGTGAAATGATTCTCAGTGTCTGTGAATGGCTCTTTCAGGGGTATTAGCTAAGAGTTTCTAAAAAAAACACCAAGGCTTTGATCAATGCTAACATTTATGCGAGATATTCTCAACTACGTCATCAATTTCAGTTTGAAGTGGAAGTCTGCATCAGTGATTTATACATACTTTCCTGCTAGAGTGAGCTGCAGTCAGCATTAGGCTGCAAGGGTCCTTAGTGCTGTCATGCATCTTCAGTTTCTTCTCAGTAACCTCCTGGAAAGTGCTGAAGAATTAGCTTCATCAATCAGACTGGACTACCACTAACACTATAGACTTGTGTTTGGGCCATTAGATGGTATATACTTGTAGTGTAGATACAAAAATCATCTTAAAATATTCCACAAAATTAGCATTGTTAGTAAAATCTCTATCACTGAAATTATGTAATTGTATTCCGTGCTCCTCTGTTAGAAGAAAAGTTATATCAGTCCTGAGTCACAAATAAAATCATCAGTATGTTCTTCTCGTCCTGCTTCATTAACTCTATACTAATTTTGACCATAACTTTGGTACCAATTCTGTCAATACAATGTGATCATCTCTGCCTGCAGCAAATTGCTGAAGCACCTAGCCTGGAGAAGTCAAATGCTCTTCCTGCCTGGCCAGGGGTTCCAGCAGGATTAGTAAGTGCAGGAAGTCACAAACAATACCCGCCCAGCTCACAGCATGTGCTGGAAATGGTCTCTCATGCATTTCTGGCACCTCTGTAACATTCACATTCATTTGTTGAGAAATTCCTTTCCCAAAATGGAGTAAACTTTAAACTGTGATCTCCTGTATGAGGCATCTGAAGGTTTTTCATGGAGATGGTTCAAGCCTAGGGTCAAGTTTATTCGATTTCATTCCAGTAAGCACTTAGCATTTCTGTTTTGTTCTGTTTGGTCCAGTACCAACCCTGTCTTAATTTGCTTATGATTGTAGGAGTAGGTGTTCTATTCTGAATTAGAACATCCCAAAATATATGCCAGAATCATCATCTTGCTTTTTTTTTTACACACTCACTTTTCACATATTGGAACACTCATTGGCTATCCTGGCTGAAGTTTTTCATGGTTTTTTCTCAGTACCTCCAAACAAATGCTGGAATAGTACATCAATTAGGCCATGACTGCTTCCTTTCAAATCCTTGTCAATTCATTATTCATTGGTCATCCCATTATTCAGCACTATATAACCTCGACACTGAAAGCATTGTCATATGACCTATGATATCACATGACAGAAGTAAACGGTTAGTTTCTCACAGTCCCTTGCTCCTTCCTTCCTAATACTTTCCAGTTTGTTATTCATTGGTCATCCCATCATCCACTGCTATACAGGCATCTGCAAACAGTTAACCAGAGAAGGAGTAAGTCTTTTTGTTGAAAAAGTAATCTAAAATGTATGCAGACACAGTTAATGAAGTTTTGTAAGGAACTAGACATAGAATGGGGTCTATCAAAAAGAATGCTGGGATTTCAAATACCTGCAACACAGGAATAAAAACAGTGCAGTTTCTGGCTGCAAAAGCCTGGGATGACTTAGATGTTATACCAGAGCCAGTCTTATCCTGGGCTGGAGATTGGGACAGCAAGTTAAGTTCTTATGCGAGTTATTAGCAGCATCCAACGTTATCATGGCATTTTATTTCTTCAGAGTGGCAACACTGAAGTATCTGTATTGTTGAACAAACTGAAATTATGTTTATCTTGCTTTACTGAAATGTAAGTATTTTGCTGGGTGCTATCCTGAGCTGTGAGATATACAGACTAATCTCAACCATATCACTTTTACCACTCACTGAATGAGATGTATTTTTACCATTTTGCACTGTATCACAACACTTCTACAGTCATCATCACTTTAATTTCTCTTGCCTAAATTTAAAGTATTATTTAAACAGCAGACACATGTCTTGTCAAGAAAATTATTGTTCTTTTAAATATTTTGTGCCTTCCTTACTTGTACTAGTTCCCTCAATGTTCGGATCTACACCTTTTTGTGGAGCTATCTTTAGCTTATATATAACTCCTTTTGAGGCTACTATACATGAATTTCTGTTGCGGTAAGTAACCGCCATGATACGTACTTAATGGACTTGGTAACTCAGTATTGAAAGTTAAGCCTGCACCAAGATGTGAAAAGTCACGGTGAAGTATCACATCATCACCACCACCACCACCACCACCTCCTTCCAGGCTTACAGTGTATTCACCAGATTTACTTTGCTTTGTGACAATTGTGCTATTGACAGAAGTCACCTTTTGACTTATCTCTTGCCTCACCATGGAGTAAGGAAATTGACTTTAATTTAAAGAGTAACTCTACAACAAAGGCAAAAATAATACCGTCTAATGTGACTATTTCAGTTTTTTCACTTGAGGATTCATCTCCCTTACATGTTCCGATCCTTACAGATCATCCTCAGAGGGTATCAGTACTTTCGGAAACTACTATTACAATAAATGTTAATTGTATAGATATACATTTGATGTCTGAAATGCACAATATACGCAATGTTCAACCTTCCACGTTCACAGTGGCCTTCTTGGTGTTAAAACTTTTAAAAAAGTTTGTTTTAAAAAACTTTCAAGATCAAGCTTAAAATTTATGAACCAAACAGGTTCGCGTCAATANCACCACCACCACCACCACCTCCTTCCAGGCTTACAGTGTATTCACCAGATTTACTTTGCTTTGTGACAATTGTGCTATTGACAGAAGTCACCTTTTGACTTATCTCTTGCCTCACCATGGAGTAAGGAAATTGACTTTAATTTAAAGAGTAATTCTCCAACAAAGGCAAAAATAATACCGTCTAATGTGACTATTTAAGTTTTTTCACTTGAGGATTCATCTCCCTTACATGTTCCGATCCTTACAGATCATCCTCAGAGGGTATCAATACTTTCAGAAACTACTATTACAATAGATGTTAATTGTATAGATATGGTATATTTGATGTCTGAAATGCACAATATACGCAATGTTCAACCTTCCACGTTCACAGTGGCCTTCTTGGTGTTAAAACTTTTAAAAAAGTTTGTTTTAAAAAACTTTCAAGATCAAGCTTAAAATTTATGAACCAAACAGGTTCGCGTCAATACTCCTATTGTTATTCGTGCAGGTGGCTGGTCCTGTGCTGCCTGTTTATCTTGCAAAAGGAGATTCTTAGTATTTCCATGTTTATTCGTGGCCTGCTGTGTTGTTTACACTGTTCAGCCACAAGCCACCTCCATGAATAACAATAGGAGTACTGACATGAACCTGTATGGTTCATAAATTTGAAGCCTTACAGATAAAGTTTTTTAAAACAAACTTTTTAAAAAGTTTTAACACCAAGAAGGCCACTGTGAACGTGGAAGGTTGAACATTGCGTATATTGTGCATTTCAGACATCAAATATACCATATCTATACAATTAACATCTATTGTAATAGTAGTTTCTGAAAGTATTGATATCCCCTGAGGATGATCCGTAAGGATCGAAACATGTAAGGGAGATAAATCCTCAAGTGAAAAAACTTAAATAGTCACATTAGATGGTATTATTTTTGCCTTTGTAATTGTTAGTGTGACAGACGAGAATGAAACAAACAAAAAAAAAAAAAGAAATTCTCCAACTTTTAAAAATGTTTTATTTATGGAAGCAATGTTAACATTAATAGTACTCAATAAGTATAAAAATATGTCTTTCACTTTTATTTATTTTTTATATGAATACATTAGGAAGAAAATAATAAATTTATGAACCAACAATAATAGAAATTATGTTACAAATATTTTTTTCCCCAATTGTAAATATATACAAGGCACTGCTCAGAAAATATTTATTAGTACTATAATGATTATAATAGTAGGTAACATAAATTTGCATTATGATCACAGTATGTCGTGTAAACAAGCTGACAGTAATACAGCAATGAAACTACAAACAAAATCTATGTGTCACTCATAAATCAACTGAGCAAAGAGTAAGTGGATATAAACATCTAGAATATCCTTATTCATTAAAATTACCAAATATCTATCACTGATAATACAATAAATGCAATTAAAGGAAGATTAAACATCAATATGCAGCCATTACAAGTCCTCAGGGCTTGCTTTGTGTCAGAAGTAGTTAACAGCTTCTATCTGTTCATATGTTTAACCTCAAAACTAATTATCATGAGCAAACTATTGAATTTTTAATTATAGACTTGTATAAAACTGTACAAATTGTACAAGGTTTGCCATTACTTTTACTATTAAAATTAATTTATTTTATTATATTGTATACGTTTATCAGTATTGTATTACATATGTGTATGCTACTGGATGACAGCTGTAATTCTTAGTTGTGACTGTAACTAGGACATCTCCACATCCGCATGAGAATGTACTCTCGACAGGATTTATGGAAGGTGAATGAATGAATGAATGAATGAATGAATGTGTAAATTATTTGCAGTCATAAAATAAACAAAATGGTGTTCTTATTCAACCACAACAAAAAAGCTGTGTTATGAGGAAACTGGAAAATATATATATGTGACAGAAAATTAAAAAATATTATCTTCTGGGATGTGATGTGTAATCTGGGAGAAATTCAATGAAGTTTCGGAAGAACTTACTGCATCCATCTTCAGGGTCAAAGAGGAAGCCAAGCAAGTAACCAGCAAGAAAGCAAGGAGTGAACCGAATGCCTAGGCTTCACATCCCATTAGGTATAGTACTCTTCGGTCACTGCTGTGAGAACTTCAAATTCAACATAGAAACTTGTACATTTCTGTAATTATATTTCCATTACAATTATCTTATGAAGATGATCTTTGCCAAATATCAGGGTTATGTTCATCAAAATAGTACAGTAAGCAAAAATTTGTTTGGCAAAACTTTGGAATCTATGGGGAGGAGAAAAATATATGGTTTGTGGTGAAAGTGTTACTTATATACAGTGTAAATTATATTGGTGTTCATAACAAAACAAAAATATACAATGGGAATAAATATATTTGGAGTTGGTATGGCAGACTTATATAATGAGTACACTCTGGGTTTGCAGTGAAAGGTGTGTTTCCCTTCATTGCAGTGTTTACTCATGTGGTAACAATTACNTGTAGGGAGCAAGATCAAAGACACAAAATATATTGTTTGCACTTAAATACGAGTACCTGCAAAATAATGACCATGCTTGTATACTGAGTAAGCAAATTGCTCATTGATGCAAAATGACAAAAAAGTCTTTCTATAGAACATATTCTTAACTTCAAAGCCAGAATATGAAAATAATATGCATTTGCACTGGTAATATGTGTTTATAACAACATCTCGTCTGTCTGAGTCTTGAGCACAATAATTATTCTGGGATATTACCTGAATAAGGCACATTCCAAGAGTGTATAAATTCTCTGTGATTACAGTTGGTACATTATTGACCTCAGTCTTCATTTATTGCAGATATCATTTGTTTGAAAATTAATTACACTACAGATAACATACTGTACTGTCAAATTTTTTTTTCCTTTATATTTTGTTAAATATTCCTTATATCAAAAAACGTTCCAAGTAAAATTTGTTAAGGCCTTATGTTTCATGCCATATATATATATATATATATAAAGCAATTCTGATATCTGTGATACTGGATTGAAGCATCATGTGAAACAGGTTACATGAATGAATATGATACAAAATTAAACTTGCTTCACGACTATTAGTGTATATTCCCCCCTCCGTAAACACCAAATTTAACTATACAATGCTTTTCTTTCATGTGATGCAGGCTATTATTACCTACTGCAGCAATAAGATCCAGCTCATTTTAAAGTTTCTGCATCCCCATAAATGAGTAAGGTTTAAATGTAGTATGGTATGGGGTTAAAAAAATTCATCTTTTCAGAGCTGCAGTCAGATACAACCTTTTCAATATACATTCATTTCATGGACATTATTGAAAGAACATAACAAAAGTTGCAGAGGCAGGAGCCTTAGTTGACAGAATACAGGATTTCAAACACCTGCAACACAGAAATAAAAACATATATAATGATGTTAGTACTTGCAGTGTAATTGTAAACTAAAACAGGTTTATTGATAAAAGTTGTGTGATTGTCCCAACTATAGTTAATGGACAGCAGCTTAATTACATGTTCTGTGCAATCAGTACAGTGTCTACCATACAGCAAAAAGGATAGAATGTGTTGTAGTATGCAAAATTTGAATCCATTATTTGAGTTCAGTGTGAATTTACAGTGACTGGCAGTGAAAAAAAAAACATACTGGGAGGCCTAGTAGATCTGATTAAGATGTGACTGTGTTAGGCAGAACTCGATCTCCAAGTGCAGCATTACGGATGCCACAAAAATGTCAACATAATTCTTTGGAAGATCCTACACATAGAAGCATACAAATTACAGGGAGTCCATACACTTACAGCATGAGATAAACAGATACACATGCACACAGATTCTGGAATATTATAATTTCTTAAGTCGTATTGTCTTCACTGACAAGGCAAAATTTCACATCTCTGGACATTTCAGCCAGCGCAACTGTGTCACCTGAGGCAGTAGGCCTCCCAGAAAACACAACATGATCAGGGTAGTCCTAAAGTGAACATTTGGTGCTGCCAACACATGAAAGTCATTGGCCCATTTTTCTTTGTTGAGGACATTGTTACAAACAGTTCATGCCTAAAGGTAAAGGTAAAAAAGTAACGCCATCTCTGTAATAGGCCATGAAGGCCCACAGGATTGTTAGACATCAAGGCTTGCACATTTTCTCTAGACAGTCGGCTCACAGACGGCGGTGAGGTCTTCCTTACACGCCAGCTGCCCTTTACCCCCCAGGAAGATTCCTGGTACTCATTTCTGTTAGAGGCTGAGTCAATCCCAGGGCCATAGTGCCTCATTGGGACTCAAACCCGCAACCTTCTAGCTTGTAGAATAGTGCCTCAATCAACTACACTACCACGTGCCCCCATTCATTCCTAGACATGTTAGATAATTACACTCTTCCACAGCTCAACAATAGCAATCTTACTCTTTAACTGGACGCTTCCCGTTCATTTTGCTCACACTGGCCACGACTGTTTAGACACACATTTCTCATGTTGATGAATAGAAAGAGGACTCCGTGGCCCCTCTTTCTCTTGAGCAGCTGTATAGCCAAAGAGTGAACTCAGTGCACAGATCACTGCAGCAACTGCATATGTTACAAAGGACGTGTTACAGTGTGTGTGTGGCAAGAGGTGAACTATAGGTGGAATGTATGCAAGGCTACAGATAGCACTCCATGTAAAGTGTTTCATATCTAACAACTTTTCCACTTGTGGGAAACAAAACTGTTTGAATTGATAAATGAAATACTTTGTTCCTACACTACAGGTGCTGAAATCCCAGCATTCTTTTTAGTAAACCTTGTATGAACTTCATGCTCACTACAATATACCAAACCATATTATAAAAATACAAGCCGCAACACTTCAATTAAAAATTAGCCTCTATATAACACACTGTTTTTGCCTACCATCCAGTTCTAAAACCAGACCACATGAATCCTTACAATTAGCAGATACTTCCTGCTGTAAAACTAACACTCTAGTCAGGATATACCTGGTTTGAACCTTGCCCTGATTACTGACTATCCCGTTTTTATGGTTCTCCTCAGCCTCTCCAGGTGGATGCTGGTATTACAGTGTAATGAGAAGATAGCTAAATCTACGGATGCCCCGGCATGCGCGATACCTATATCTGAAAATATGGCACAGATGTCTTCTTCCTAATCTTTACTCATTTGTCATTCATGACTTCAACTCAGAAACATTACTTTGTGCTTAGTTAATGTGGAATTTATGGAAAATTATACAACAACCATCTAATCCAGATAAAGAGGAGAAAATAGCGCTGAATTGGTCATGCCCTAAGGAAACCCACAGCATCCTTAGAGAAGTCGGCACTAGGCTGGGACCCTCAGGGAGCTCAAAGGGTTTCACAGATACACTATGCTCCAGAGGGAGCAACGGGAATTAACTTATGTGGAAAATACAGTTTCCTTATCTTGACAGACTGGCAATTTTCTCCATTTTGACTGTAGTGTGGTACCCAGAATATTTTAGTCAATATGAACTGGTATACAAAATCTCAAATCTCACATTATTTGATGTTTTATTGTGGTAATGTGTGGAGTTACTGCTGCACATACATATCCCATGATGCCATTGGTTTCTTGTGTCTTAATGTAACATTTTCTTAACTGTATAGGTTATGTGGTCTTGAATGGAAGAGCATATATAAAAGATTAATTTAAAGGATGCGACTTTTTTAATGTATTATCTCATTATGCACCCAGAGGGGCTCAGTAAGACCATAAAAATCTCAGTCAAGATGAGATCTGGTCAAACCCCTCAAACTTGAACCAACAGTGCTAGTAATATCATCACGTCAGTTACTTTATCATTCTTTGGTTCACTTTCTGTCCTCCTTATGTCCTTAAATATTTACATATGTACATTCCCCATGCTTTGAGAATAGAAATATAAGTGGGGCATGGTCAAAGAGAAGTTTTCTGTGGATACTATTCTACATTTTTATCTCAAATGCTAACATGACATCATGTATGGAACAGACTGGAAGGAGCTCCAGTAATTGAAAGGCTAAATTCTACTTTGGACTCAGGTGTGGGATATGGCATATTCCCACCATGCCACATTCCACACTTATTTTTGAGTTCATGTAACTTCTTCCAGGTTAGGTTAGGTCACATAACTTTAACCCTGGAAGTCCCAAACTGTAATCTACATTTTTATGCTAATTTGTCCTGCCACTTTATAAATTACTCATGTGATTACACACAAATTAAAAGATCGTACAATGTAAAAATATTATATGAATGATTGGTCCCAATGTCGTTTTAGTATATATGAGACTATCCTGAATTTAATTCAACAAATCATGTTGGTTCAGCTGTCTAGGTGAATACATTAATCATTATAAATTCCATCAATGAGAAAATCCATCTGTCTGTAATGTCTCCTTTCCCATAATTCTAAACTTTTCTTGTATAAAAACACTGCCAACACAACAAACAGCGGAACTGTGAAAATGACAACTACAACTGGTATAACATAGTCAGTTCTGTTCAACTCCTTATCATGGGCTAGAGATTGGGAAGACAGGTTTAAGTTTTCAGGCAAGTCATTAGCAGCATCCAGTGTGAACAATGGCTTTTTGTTCCTTGAAAGTGGAGTCCCTGATGTTGCTGTATTGTTGAGAGAACCAGAGTTATGTTTATTGTGCTTTACTGAAACAGAAGTATTTTGCGGGGTACTATCCTCAGCTGTAGGATTTCCAGCTGAATCTGCAGATAACAAGTTCACTGGTTCAACTGTCTCACTTTTACTGCTCACTTTATCAGATGTATTTTTATCATCCTGCATTGTATCACAACACTTGCTACAATCATCATCACTTCCATTTCTAATGCCTAACTTTAAAGTATTATTTAAACAGCAGATACATGTCTTGTCAAGAAAATTATTGTCCTTTTCTACAGTTTCATCAGTGCCCTCAATAATTGTACTAGTTCCCTCAATATTTAAATTTACACCTTTTCTTGGGACAATTTTTGGCTTATACATAACTCCTTTTCGGGCCACTGTACTTGTAGTTGTGTTGTCATGGTCAATAACAAAAAAACTGCCATGATATGTACTTAACGAACCTGGTAACTCAGTAATGGGAGTTAAGCCTGCATCAAGATTTGAGAAGTCATGGTGGAGTGTCACACCACCACCACCTTCCATGCTTACAGTGTATTCACCAGATCTATTTGGCTTTGTGACAACTGTGCTATTGACAGAAAAGTCACCTTTCAACTTAACACGATCAGTTTCTTTCTGTAGCTTCTCTGTATAATTTCCAGATGAAAACACTGCAGACACATCTGTACTATTTGGTTTTGGATCATGGTCATTTCTCGTGAAGAGACTGTAACTCTGACCATTCGGTTTATATGTAACTCCTTTCCGGGGCATGGTACTTGAAGTTCTGTTGTCATGGTCAACGGCCGAAAAACTGCTATTATATGCACTTAACATATCTGATAACTGTGTGCTGGAAATCGAACCCTCATCAAGATGTGAATTGTCTGGGTGTAGTGTCACACTACCACCTTCCATGCTTACAATATGTTCAGGAGCTCTATTTTGCATTGAAAGGACTGTGCTGTTGACAGAGTCACCTTTCAACTTAACCTCATCTGTTTCCTTCTTTACGTTGTCCGTATCATTTCCGGATGAAAACAAAGCAGACAGTTCTGTACTAACTGGTTTCGGATTACGGTCATTTCCAGCAGGGAGACTGTAACTTTGAGGGTCATCGCCACAGCAAACCCATAAATTTTCCTTGTGCCACAATATTAACAACCACACTCCTATCCATTTCAATAACATATCCATGATGTTCACTTTTTACAGTTTACAAATACTAAAAAGTGCTGTTCGCTTCCTGTGCTCTATTAATATTCGAAATCGTTCAAAATATTCACTTTTACGTCTCGTAATTTCTGAAACGAGTCGCACTATAGCACAGAGTACTAGAGTAATGTATAACCTGTATAACCATGTATAACCACTTCCAAACCACGAACGGAGCTACACGGAGATAGGAGCAATCTGAGATAGTCAATTGTCACGAAGTCACGAAGGCCGCTACGAACGCCACGAACTTCTCGCAGCGGGGTTAGACAAATTTAGGTATGGGTTGGAACGAAATGGAGAAATTTAGGTTATGAAAGGCCGGGTACCATGTTCTTTTGTGTCATTTATTTTTCGTCCTGAACCTGTAATGAAACAAAATTAGATATTGACGGTATCGAAAGTGTTGTAGAATACATTATATAGCTCAATAAATTGTTGTACAGTATCATCATGGGGAAAACTGCAGTTCAGTCCAAAATATGTATTAAATTTATCTCGGGAAAATTGTCTGCTGTGCAGAGAGGAGAGAAATCGCTTAATTTATCGGATTTTTCACAAATTTGAAGTGAACCGAAGTAATTCAGGTGTTACGTTGGATTATTACCAAAGAAAAGTCAACAAGATCGTGATGTATCGCAAAGGGCATTTAAGATTTGGTATATAATATTTGAGTACTTGCAATTGTTTGTTTGTGTGTGAAAAATGTTATTGAGGATATATAAAGGCATTTCGCATATTGTAAGCTCTATGTGTGCCACCGTTAACACAACCATTTAAATAACAGTCCGCTAGAATTTATAAATCACAATAATTCCGAAAATCTATGATATACGTATTCATACATATTTGATATTCCGTGGATTGTAGTTAGTGAAAAGGGGTCGTAGGATGTGTAAAAGTCAAAAACGCAATACAAAACACCAGAAGCCTTCGCAGATAAGATGAATATATATAACTTTCATGTAACGCATGTAAGGTATTCATATGAAGTGTAACGCAAATGGTCAATTTCATGCCCAATTTGTCTTTTCATTGTTACTACGGAAGTGCCCCTTTCGTTCCTGACACCATGTGGTAGGGATCTGAAGGTTAATTTTTACAATTCTTTCCTTCATGGTTTACATGGATAATACGTATTTTACTTCATAGCATTCTCGTGAATGGTCTTCTATGACTATACCATTCAGCAGTTAATTGTTATCCATTCTCTTCAGGTAGGTTGTGAATTCTTTATTTGTAGTCATTTATACTTTAATTGACTTAATGAATATTTAGGTCTTTCTGTATTTCCCTTTAAAACCAGTATAGTTCAGTCATTATAGTGACTAGCAGTGGGGAGGATGACAGAATATGAGTTTAATTCCTAAGAGGGGCAAGAGGTCTTTCTCTTCACAACCATACCAGCCTCTTATCTAGTGAGTACCTAAGTATCTTTCCTTAGGGATGAAGTGGCTTGGATATGAAGTGACCACTCACCACCAACTAGTTCCAAAGTTAATATGTGGAGCTATACCTCTACTTCTTTCTGACTATATGATGTGTAGCTTAATTAAGCACAAGGACAACTTTACCATGATATAATGAAAAGAATGATATTCAATTAGTGCACAGTGCATTGGACTCCTTCTAGAAGTGTTGCCTGAAGATGGCCTTATATGGTCAAAACATTTAGCATTATGATAAAGCATATATATTCTATAATTTTAATAACATTTTATACACAATGACCACTGTATGGATTAAGTGTGAATCAGTGTTATTAATTGTTGTATTATAGAAACAATAGACTATAAGTGTTCAAAAGAGCCTGTCACAGGACCCAGTCCAGTGACATTAACATGCATGGTTTTCTCTGCATTTACATCTACACCAACCTTCTTACCAGCGTCAGTTAGAGATCTTGTGTCTTTCTGTATGATATTTTTTTTGTCACCCAACATATTCACATCAGCAGTTGATGTTCCCCATTTAATTTCAGTTCCAAAGTTGAAAAGTAATGGTGGTAATGGTAACAGCCAAGAGGAATGGTCCATAAACCTTTGGTCCGTTAACGACATACAGAATATTCACTTTCAGAGTGTTTTGCTTGTATTTAACAATTTGATGTGATTTTTGTGATTCCTGGAAGATTAGATTGTGGCAGTTTGTTTTATCTGGTAAGGGAAAGGTGGACTTGTCTCTGGAGACAAAGAAGGCCAAATCCCAGCCGTCGTCAGGAAAGGTGATGTTGAGCGTGCTCTGGGATCAGCGGGATGTCATCATGACCAACTACACGCAAAAGGACGTCACCATCACTGATGAGTACTACCTGAAACTTCTGAGAAAATTACAGGAGGAAATCAAGAAAAAGCGACGTGAAATGCTGGGAAATGGTGTGCGACTTCTTCAAAACAATGCACCACTCATGCTGCTCATGCTACAATGACACTTGCTGTCAGTTTGGTATATGAAATTCTCCCCCATCCACCATATTCACCAGAACTGGCACCAAGTGACTTCTTCCTCTTTCCACGGCTAAAGAAGCCACTTCATGGTAAGTGAGTCCAAGAGGATGATGACATCATTTCTGCAGTGGAGGAATTCCTAAACAGTCAAAATGAGACCTTCTATGATCAAGGTATCCAACAGCTAATGCATCGTTTAGGAAAACGTGTGGCCTTGCAGGGGGCATGTGTAGAGAAGGGCTAACTCACATACAATTTCTTGCACCTGTGTCTCTGTTCTTCTGGGTGATAATTAAAATTTTATGATTCCCCACATATTGAGTCAGCTCCAGCCATCTTCCATCACAATTGATATCCATAAATTCAATCTTTAGTGTATTTTTTTTCCTCTTGACAAAATATTAACTTGTTAAAAACTGATTTGCAGTTTTCCAAGTGAGTTACGTTCATGTGTCTGCTGTAAGACTTGATTTATAGGCTCACATGCTGTTGTCTTAAACTTCACATACATACACAGTAAGCTTTTATGGAACAGTGGTATCATTTGTATAATGACTGATGAAAATACAACAAAAAGTCTCACATGTAAAACAGACTTGTTATTATATTCTAAAGGGTTCTGACGATGGTGCATAACTCAGAATTACTGGGTTTTGAGGCTTTGTCCATTGTCCAGTATTGTAGAACAGATCCAGTTTCCAAAATGCTGTTCTCATATTTTTAGATTACTGGATGATGTACAAAGTCCAAAAACTGAGTAATTAATTATGAATTATTAATTAATTAATTAATGATTAATTAATTAATTTCTGGATGAAAGCATAATTTCTTTGTAGCATTTTATGTTCT